ATTAAACAAACAACAAAATAAAACATACTTTAAGGTCAGAGCTCTGAAGGAAGAGGAAGAGCTACTTGGTTTGGAAACCTGTCCATGGAGAGAACTACTTTACACTTGGGAGCCAGAGATAGCCCCTTCCTAACCTAAAAGTTTCAAAATCAAAGAGATCCTTGCATCGCAATATTTTCAAGGGTCCAATATCCCTTACTAACCCCTCATTTATTATTTCCAAGAGGAAATAATATTTAAATTGATATGATAACACTTTTGTCCCCTACCCCCACGAATATCCCCATCGGCCATATTCTAAGCTATCATGTTCCATAGTCCTAAGGCAAAGAATTCTCTACACCTTCACAGTAAAACTTCATTTAGACACAAATTGAAGAAATATTATAGGAAAGTCAGTTACTCGTGATGAAAAGCCAAAGTTAGTGATGTTGAGCTCTTATAATAGGAATGGTAGTGTTGAAACCAAATCCATATTCGAAACAAAGATGCAGGATTCAGAGCAGGGGTGCAGAAAAGAATAGCTAGAGCCCGCCAGGTGCAGTGGCTCAGGCCTGTAATCCTAGCCCTCCGGGAGGTCAAGGCAGGAGAATCTCCTAAGCTCAGGAGTTCAAAACCAGCCTGAGCAAGAGTGAGACACTATCTCCACTAAAAACAGAAAAACTAGCCAGGCACTGTGACAGGCACCTGTAGTTCCAGCTCCTTCAGAGACTGAGGCAAGAGGATCACCTGAACCCAGGAGTTTGAGGTTGCTGCGAGCTATGACACCACGGCACTCTACCCCAGGCAAGAGACTGACTGAGACTCTGTCTCAAAAATAAAAAATAAAAAATAAGAATCATTAGTGCTGACCCCTGATATTTAAATGGAGTAGATTCCTTTCTTGTTTTGAGATCCATTTGTATTTTAAGAACAGATTTGAGATTATATTTGGCAACACCAAGCATTATTTCATTAATAACAACTTTTTAAAATCAATTATTTTATGTGCTCCACATTATGTACAATGGGATCAGGAAATACAGGAAAGAAAGATAGAGCAGGGCAAAAGCAGAAGATGAGGGAAGGGAGGGAAGGATGGGAAGAGAGAGGCAGTGAAGGGAGGGAAGGAGGGAGGGAGGGAAGGACGGGAAGAGAGAGGCAGTGAAGGGAGGGAAGGAGGGAGGGAGGGAAGGACGGGCAGAGAGAGGCAGTGAAGGGAGGGAAGGAGGGAGGGAGGGAAGGACGGGCAGAGAGAGGCAGTGAAGGGAGGGACACCCACAGTCACAGAATGGAAAGTGGGAAGAAACCCCAGACTTTGCTGTTTGGGTAGACTATGTGATACTGATTTCTGTCAGTTCCTTTTGAAATGCTAATTAGATAACTAGCAAGTATTAGATCCATAACCCTTATTTTGAAAAATCTTTATTCAAAATGGGCGAGTATCTTAGATGTCCCATGAGAAACTAGCTTCTGGCTTCCTGAAAGCTAGTTTTACAATCACTCAAATCTCAGATCTGAGGAGAGAGAGGCACACCGCTCCTCATCTAGAGTTGCAAAATCAAAATCTCTGACTATAATATTTCCAAGGGTGTTACATCCCTTAGAAACCCTTATCCAAAGAAAAGAAATACCTACATCTATGTAAATACAAAGATAATTGGCTCAAAAGGGTGGAATAAAGCACCACAGGAACTTTGTGGTCACTGAGCTGTTGCATTCAAAGCCAGGTGGCAGGCTAAGGCGTCAGCGCAGTAAGAAGGCCGTGCGCTGGGGTCAGCTGGGGTCAGCTGGCTCGACTCAGTGGCAGAAGGGCTGCAGCAGAACGGCACACATCATGGGCACATGGCCTGGGTTGGCTTTGCAATATGGTATTTTGTCAAGCTACACATAAAACACTTGTCTTAGAACTGTGGCAGCTTGTGTGGAGATTCACATTCCCTCTCATTGTGAGAAGGGCATTATGCCAACAATTGGGGGGATAAAGAGAAGAATTTGGCTCTTTCCACAAGAAAGCAAACACGGTCACCTACAGCAAATGCTTCCAGGTAATCTGTGTGTGCCTGGGTGATTTCAGGTAAACGGTCAGACACACTGTTCTAGGTCTCAGTAAGCCTCGGGGTCGGGATGGGTGCTTGCTGCCTGCTGGGCTGCAGGAGTTGGCTTGAGATGTGGTCAGAGAGTGGCTGGGAGGGGAAGAGGACCAAGGATGCATCCAAGCAATGCCACAGCTCAAGGACTAGCAGATGACAGTGGAGAACTGAGAAAGAAAGAACAGAAGGAGGAAACAGGAGACAAGTCTGAAAGAAATGAAGCGAATGGCAGTTCTTGGGATACAGGAGGCTCCTTCCATGTTCGTAAGAGCCAGAGAAGGCATTCTTGGAAAGAAAGGTGGGATAGAGGGAGAGGCAGGGTACTGGATAGGCCCGAGAGCTAAGCATTCTCTGGCAGGTGCAAATTTGTAATGAGGAGACCCGAGGGACTTAACTCTGACATGCCCCCCTATTTTCTGTTCAGACATTTACTTGTCTTCTAAAAATTAATTACTAAACAAAACAAAAAGTAAGTCATCATGAAATAGAGAAGAGAAATTCTAATTAATTGTTGCCAAAGCAGAGAATTCAAAAACGGGGTGGCAAGAACAGACACAAAATTTCCCTTTGGTTTAGATTTTGTTTTTAATTGTGACATATATAAAAAACAAAGATGACAGAAATTGTTCATTCTTCTACCGCCAGAATATCACCTTGACATGTTCCTGGAGTGTCAATAACATAGGCCGAATTGCTCTTTTAACGCATGCAATAAAAGTGATAAAGATTACAAGGGAATTTGAAAGAGGCTAATTTTTCTACTCTGACAACAGGTAATAATTTCATGATGCTGTGTACTTAAAGTCTCTTGCTATCCTTTCGCTGCTTTGGAAAGCAGGTTTAAATACCATCTCGTGCAAACCAGTAGAAGCCTCCAGACTGTCCCTCTCGGGTCCTCACACGCCTCGCCTACACTGCGTCCGTCTTCCTGCAGGCGGCGCTGTGCACGGCGCTGTCCTGGTGGGGCCCGCGCGCCACAGGGAGGGACCTTCCCGCGCAGACGCCGGGAGGGGGTTCGGGTTTAACAGCAGACAGAGCGCTGTTTATTCGAATTTGCGAATGGTACAGATAAGGAGCGCGGTATGACCAGCTTCTATGCCCGACGAAGGTGTTGAAATTTAAATGACACAACTTTTTCTTCTTAAATGCCAAACCTATAGTGAATGAGTAGTTCACATAGCCCTTATCCCGTCACCTTTGTTTCCCATTATTTCACTATCTTTCTTCCTTTTTTTTTTTTTTTAACTTTTCCTCCCTCCATCTCTTCTCCCTTTTGAATTTGCTTTATGATTGGTGTTGGTGTTTTTCATTGTGTAGAAATTAAATTATCATAAGCTTCTTTGTGTGCTGGTCTCTAACTGACCTGCATTATCAAAAATAGCACCCTAGCTGCCTGTGATTTACAATAACAAAGAATTTTTGTGCTGATCAGAAAAAAAGAAAAGAAAAAATCTAGAAGGTCCCAGTGTGACATGTCTGGTTGTTCTGCTGGCTTTACTGGAAGGAAGTGTAAGAAGCAGCTATTGGAAAATAATGTCTTTATGAATAATTGTTGTTTGGAGTTTACCTTACTCAAGGAGGACATACAAAAACACAAGTCTACAGCTTTTCTCTACAAAATATTTTTTCATAAAAAGTACCAATTGCATCATAAGCTCTTGGCAATCAATATGTCTTCTGTTATTCCCAAAGGGTTTGGTTATAATTAATAATATATTTTAAGAAAAAAAAACAACTGAACTTTAAATATACAAGACCATTCTTTTGTTGTTGGGTCTTGGTACAGCTCTACTTTAACCTGCTGCAACACAGATTGACGTAATGTTTCAGCGATGCAGATCAAAGGAGGCCAAGGCTTTTAGGTGAGCCTGTCCACGTACACCATAACGGTGAACTTTGAGACGCAGGAGACTGAGTCAGAGTAGAGCAAAGCAATGATAATTGCATTTAGAATTTGGAAATTTACTTCAGAGGGAACACTAACCATATGGGGCTAAAATAATGATAAAATAAGAAAAGCAATTGAAAAAGTTTTACTATCTTTACTTTATGGAAAGCTGAAAGATGGCTGACAATTAGTGGACATTTCTTCTTATAAGGGAAAGGCAATAAGGAACAGACAAAAGCTGTAGAAAGAGAATAAGATCACGTCAGCACAAACTGCACCCAAAGTGTCACCAGAAACATCACCAGTGATGCTGTATGGACACCCTTGCTCATTTTTAAGGAAGTGTAAACTCTCTTGTGTGAATGAACTACACTAGTTCTTGCTTAGAATAAAAAAGGTAAGCTGGCTAGTCCCCTCAGCTTCCTGTGACTGTGTATCCCTTTCAGTCAGAATCTTACAGCTGACAGGGAGCCTTGGTGACCACTCAATGAGAATCCCTGTTTAAAATGATTGTCCAGGGGCGGCGCCTGTGGCTGAGTGAGTAGGGCACCGGCCCCATATACCGAGGGTGGTGGGTTTGAACCTGGCCCCAGCCAAACTGCAACAACAACAACAAAATAATAAAATAAAATAAAATAAAAAAGATTTAAAAAAAAAAATGATTGTCCAAGGTCATGCTAGTAATAAGTGGCAAAGTTGAAGCAGCAACCCAAACCTGCCAGCCTCCAGTCCACAGTCATTTTCCCACTACACAAAACCAGCTCCTTGGTGTATTTATACTAACTACATGGAAAGTTAAATCCCACCCCACTGATATTGAGTCATAGTCCCTTCACTTTCATTCCTTCTCTGTATGGTTGGGACCTTGGAGAGGGCAGAGACTGGAATCCTCATGTGCGTTAAAACTCGGAGGAATTAAGAGCCTTCGCTGGGGTCCAAGCCAGCCTGTCCCAAACCCCCAGTTCCATGTGACTTGACTTCTAGGGAGCATCACGGCATCTCACCATTGACAGACTGTCTTCCTGTCTCCCTGTTTGTAGGTTTCACTGCAGCAGCCTCCCTCGTGTCCTTGGCCTGGGCCTTGGCGTCTTACCAGAAGGCCCTTCGGGACTCCAGAGACGACAAGAAGCCCATCAGCTACATGGCGGTCATCATCCAGTTCTGCTGGCACTTCTTCACCATCGCCGCCAGGGTCATCACCTTCGCCCTCTTCGCCTCCGTTTTCCAGCTGTACTTTGGGATCTTCATCGTCCTGCACTGGTGCGTCATGACCTTCTGGATCGTGCACTGTGAGACGGAGTTCTGCATCACCAAATGGGAAGAGATTGTGTTCGACATGGTGGTGGGGATTATCTACATCTTCAGCTGGTTCAACGTCAAGGAAGGCAGGACACGCTGCAGGCTGTTCATTTACTACTTTGTGATCCTTCTGGAAAACACGGCCCTGAGTGCCCTCTGGTACCTCTACAAGGCCCCCCAGATCGCAGATGCATTTGCCATCCCAGCTCTGTGCGTGGTGTTCAGCAGCTTCTTAACTGGCGTTGTTTTTATGCTGATGTATTATGCCTTCTTTCACCCCAATGGACCCAGATTTGGGCAGTCACCAAGTTGTGCTTGTGAGGACCCAGTTTCTGCCTTCTCTCTGCCTCCAGAAGTGGCCACAAGCACCTTACGATCCATCTCCAACAACCGCAGTGTTGTCAGTGACCGTGATCAAAAATTCTCCGAGCGGGATGGGTGTGTACCTGTCTTTCAGGTGAGACCCACTGCCCCGTCCACTCCATCATCTCGCCCACCACGGATTGAAGAATCAGTCATTAAAATTGACCTGTTCAGGAATAGGTACCCAGCGTGGGAGAGACATGTTTTGGACCGAAGCCTGCGAAAGGCTATTTTAGCCTTTGAATGTTCTCCGTCTCCTCCAAGGCTGCAGTACAAAGATGACACCCTCATCCAGGAGCGGTTGGAGTATGAAACCACTTTATAAAACCACTTTAAAAAACAAAAACACTTGCAGGAGCTACAACATCCAAATGAAGGGTGAGAGCAGGGCTGTGGCAATAATGACACTTCATTCTAGAGGAGGGCAATGAGCAGTAGTGACCTTCTCATCTGACCATCATCACGATTGTCATTGGATCCTCTGCTGGTCTCCCTCCAAACCAGCAGTGCCCGGTAGTCACTCCACCAGAATGAACGATGCCAGCTGAACATGACTCTCCATGGCTACCGAACTCCTCCTACACGGTCGTGGAGAGCTCCCACTAGACAGTACTGTTATTATGGAAAATTTTGCCTCTGATCCATAAGATGTTTTGATGGAGTTAACTTATCTTTGCATAAAAATAGATTCAGTCATATGTGCATAACACACACACACACACACACTCACATGCACACGGAAACATCAGTCCTCCGTCAAAATAGTTTAGGTGATTTTTCCTGATGCAAAGCTCTGATTCCCCCAGGAATATAAAAACAGAGAGAAAATATATCCCTCAAGACTCCAGGAAAAAAATAGAACTGCTTAGAAAAGAATTCATAACCCGTTTTCTTATTTGGAAACCTATACGTGTGTGAAAAGGACAGCAAACGCGAGTGTGTTTACACACGTAATTAGCACTGATGGAATGGTTCATTTTCTACACATTTCAGGATTTTTTTATTTTACATTTTCTGTTGAGAACATCCTTTTTGACAGAAATCCTATGCAGCACAGGTATGGCTTTCGACAAGACCTAGGAGTGAGATAATTCCTTGATGTAAATTAAATGCTATCCATGGTTCAGTGTTCAATCGCAAAAATGTCTAAGTACACAAAGAAGAAATGGGGGGGGAGGCACAATGAGCATCTGATTCCCTAACATGTGCAGCTCCCATTGGAACGTGGGGCCGAGGGATGGAAGAGGAATGGGCTGGAGCCAGATCCGTTTCTGGTCATAGAGCAAGTGGCTCTGTGTGATCCCAGGAGCAATTTCAAGAGACGCCAGGCTGCTCCTTCCTAGTGCCAAACACCTCCAACCACAGGACTGAAGTGCAAGCCCCAAACAGCTGAGAGTGAGTGGTGTGAGCTCCCCAAAAAACAGACAAGAGAATGAATAATCAAGTTCTCCACTGTGTACAGACTTTATCCTCCCCGTCCAAGGTCAAAGTGATGTGTCTTTTAGAGGCTTTGGGACACTTTTTAGTAAGTATGAGCAGACAAATGCTATGAATATGCTATGAGAGAACCCTTCTGAACTGATACAGGGCTTAACGCTATATCCAGCTAAGATTTGTATTTGAATCATCTGTAAAGTCACACTCTTACAACAAGCTTCTGGGTTCTAAATACCTCCGTACAGCAAGTAAACGTTCCCCAATTTCTGTTCTCAGTGTCCTTGGTCATGGTGCTTTTTGGTTGCATTAAAAGTGCCGGTCAAACTTTGATAGTATTTTTTTATAGTTGGTGCAGAGTGGAATAACTCATGGATTATTTCAATATTTTTATAATAAAAGTATAGGGTATACACATAAACATCATCACTTTTTTTATAGACCTGGAATCATTTAAAATACTTTAAGCATCATAATTACTTGGGATGTCAGAAACTGGTCCACAAACTCCATCCGCCTGCCTCGGCAGATTGAAAACACTTGTCTCTTGCAAGATCACCCTACTTTGCAAGCTGGTGCCCCCAGGAACCTGGCCAGGGGTGCTATCAGAATATCAGGTGATGAGAGAATCAGCTTAACTAGTAAGGGCTTGTCAAAACTGGCCAATGTTTCCCAGGAAATCACAGATGTAAATGATTGCTTTCGTCCATCCATTATAACAAACCTGACCACAGTGGAAGATGTCTTAAACCTCCTCCCTTGGTTTTATAATATATCAACCCAAATGATAGATTAAATACTAGTCAACTCTCTAGAAAAATAAAAGCCAAAAATCAGTTTAACTTAATTATTCAGTTATTTGGACTATCCAATTCAATTAAAATAGTCAAGTTCCATAGCCACCGCCTGTAATGGGTGTGCCCTCCAGAGACTGCTGTCCCCATAGCCACCGCCTGTAATGGGTGTGCCATCCAGAGACTGCTGTCTCCAAGATGACGTCCCCAGGAAGGAACTGAGGGCTCAACCCACGACTTCTTTTGATACCAAGCCCCAAAGCAATTTTAAAAAATAGACAATTTTTATAAGTAGATACAGTTCTTGGTACTCTTTAATTTGATCCTCCAAGCAAGATTTTCACTAAAAAATACTAATCTTTTGCTGAGATGTGGAGAAATTACCCGTCACCAGTAAAGGCCCAGGAGGGTGCTCCTCCCATCAGCACATGGTGGAAACATCCCAGCCCCATTATAGAAGGAAAAAATGGTTATTTTGGAAAATTCTTCACTTCTGTGCAAAACCATGAGTTATTAGCTACATTATTTCCAAGAAAACTTTTAGCCGATGGTCTTTGGAAATCAAGTTTCTCAGTTGAACTATACCTTTGAGTCCATGAGTAAATCACAGATTACAGTATGATAGTGTCAACCAACCAACACAAACCCAACAAGCCCCATCGTGCTTCGATCATGTAAGTTCTGAGTTACTTCTCAACTTAATCCTTCCCTTCACATGTAGAGTCAAAATGAGTACTATGTAATTTAAAAAGTTATGTCCTATGCTTTATCATGGAGGTGAGACTGGCAGTCAAGAGGGTGTACAGAGTCTGAATTTTTAAATGATTCCCCCAATACTGTAAACTCTCTGTTATCCAACATACTTGAAGATTATACTATTCTAATGGGCCATGAATTCATGATATAGAAATAATATATCCACCACAGATATATCAAATTTTCCAAAAACTACAAGAAGAAAAGACATTTCTTTAGATGCAAATCCTGATGTAATCTTGGTTTCATGATTCCAAAAGCACTACACTGCCATCAGACCAATGTGGTGATAATGACTTTTATTAATTTTTAGATGCTCAGATAACAGAGAATTTAAAGTATTAGGATTTAAAGAGACATTGTCAGTGTACAAAGGAATAAAGTTTGATTTTTGTATTTATATTTTAATTCTAAGATTTCCTTTTCAATCTGGCATTAAACTCTTCACAGAGAGCAGAGAATTCAATAGGCACGAGCTGTGGTTAGCATATAAATTGGAAATGCTGGATCCTATTTGTAAGCTCAGACTTTCAGTGTCTGAGTCTACTTTGACTTGATTCCATTGTGGGAGGGTCCTTTACTTAGGACTCTCTTTTTTCATAAGATCACAGTTTCTACAGGAAAAATATCGTAATTTTTTTACTTTCAAGCTAGCATTTCTAAATGAAACCCTATTTAATGAATATATATACTTAAGATATATGTGTATATATATCTTAACCATACTGACACTTTTACGTATTTGTGTGGAGGAAAAAAAATTTCCACGTAAGTCACAGTTTAACCCCCCAAATGACTATGTCCTTTAAATCTCCTTTGCCCTGTTGCATCGCCCTAGTTGCCTATGTATTGTCTAGTTCAGTCTTTGCACTCAGTTACAATTCATTTAGGATGAATGTTGTTAACCCAACAAATAAAATAAATTCTTCTTATTGACATGGCAAGAATATGTCACTCAAGTATTAGCAAAAGATAATTTGAAGATAAAAATAAAATGAAGTTAATTATTGTTACTTCCTAATGCCCAATTTATTTTGCTCTATGAATAAATGAAGTTATTGTGCTAACCACAATGGGAATGGGAATAATTGGAATCTCAATAACTGTTTTAAATATATACATATAAATATATATATATCTGTGTACACTTATTACATGTGTGTATATATATACACATGTGTATGTATGTATACACACACACACACACAGCTTTCCCAAATAAAGTAACGGAAATGAAAAAGATAAAGGTATCCTGCCCTTTGATACCTATACAGTGCTATGTTTTTGACACATGGACTTTTAGATAAGAAGCTTGTTCATACTCCTTTCGAAAATCAATCCAAGCCTACAGCCCCTGTCTACAAGACAGCAACACACAGACCAACTTCAGTTGGAAATACCCGTGGGTATTCAGTGCTTCTCGGTGTGAATGAGCCTTATCACTCCTTAAGGATCTCATCCTTTAAACAGCAGAATAGAATAATTCTGCATCATTTCAAAGTTTCTTTCTCTGAACAGATTGAACTGAGTAGAGAAAACCTCTGATGTCCTTACCGGGATTGAGTAAGGTTACACATTTGCTTTTAAATGTCCTGAACGCATTGAGTGGAAACGTTTTCTGACACAATGTTTAGACAAGAATCCAGAGATTTTTTTTTCTAATGAACCATTTTCTAGACTAAATATATGCTTCCTTGTGTGTTCCACACATCTTTGCCATTAGCCATCAAACTGTTTCTATATAAAGCTCAGATGAGACGCCTACATTTTTAGGTTTCTAAGGAGAATTCCTTAAAGCCTTCTTAAAAATAGCTCAGCTTGTCTTTCAAAATATAGCTCCGAGGATAATGGAAGTGCATGGTGAAAACGCAGCAGGACGGCTGGTCATGTCTGTAATTTCAGAGATGGGTACGATCAACACTCCTTTATCTCGGCAATCCAGTGTCACTTTGGAAGCAATCAAAACGATCACCTCTGTCAGCTCGGGGCTCCGACCTCTCCTCCTGTCACCCAATGCTCAAGGGTTTCCAAATGGCAAAGGATGGGCAGTTTCACTTTATCCCCGTGTGTCTGGAACTCATGCTGGCCTGGATCAGGCCACGAAATGCTCTGAGCATTTGGGCCGCGTCTCCTTTCCTCGCTCGGGTACCTGTGCGGCCATTGCAGAGCTTTCTCTGCCCACATGTGTCTTGTCCAGCTGCTATCCTGAAAATGGTCACGTGGAAAGACTCTCGAAGGACAGCCTCAACAGCAGCATTACTCATTCTAAAGTAAAACTGCAGAATGTGGGTGGAATTGTATAAAAACATAATGAGCCATTTAATTCTGCTAATTGTAGCAATTAGGCTAGCTCACAAGCAGCCTGCTCTGACAACAGAAAACCACACGAAACAAGTGCCAAACAGCCATTTTCCCACAGCAGTGAGGGGTGTAGAAATTCTCCCTAGAGTGTTTGAGGTGTCATGTTGTCTCACCATCCATCTGAGCCTCTTTCTCTAGATTCCACAGGGGAGAAAAGAAATCAAGACTTTCGTTACATTGAAATGTAAAACTTCAGTCAACCTCGGGGCCTATGTTCTGCTAAAGAGGGAAAGCTTAACGTTCTTGAAATGTCTAATCATTTTGCTGAAATGTTTTCATAATATACCGCCTAAGTCAGAAAGAAACTGCCTAAGTCAAAGTTTTGCTTTGATTATTTGATCCTTCCTTAGATTTTCCAGCAGTTCTATTTCCCATACTGATAGCAGCTTCCGACCTCGGAAAGTTCACCGTGCACCTCATGCTGGGCTGAGAGCTTTGTCTGTGTGGTTTCGCGTAGTCCTCATAATCTTCCGTGAGTCCTGATAAAACTGCAGCTCAGAGATGTCAAGCCACTTGCCGGAGGTATCCCAGCTAAAAAATAGTGAAACAGACGGCTGAGTACAGCTTTTAACAACTGCAGCCCCCAGAAGACCAGTGAATATTCCCACCTAAATCTGTTCTTGATCTGGCAAGTCTTCCGGAGAAGCAGAATTAGTGTCTGACAATTAAATTTTTCTAAGAAAATTTCATTTAAAAGTCAAAGATGTCTTTCAAAATGAACAGTTAAAAATTAAGAAGTCAGGGCCAGGCACAGTGGCTCATGCCTGTAATCCTAGCACTTTGGGAGGCTGAGGCAGGTGGATTGCCTGAGCTCAGGAGTTCAAGACCAGCCTGAGCAAGAACAAGACCCCATCTCTAAAAAAAATAGTCAGGTATGTGGTGGGTGTCTATAGTCCCACCTACCTGGGAGGCTGAGGCAAAAGGATCACTAGAGCCCAAGAGTTTGAGGTTGCTATGAGCTATGATGCCATGGCACTCTACTGAGGGTGACAAAGTAAGACTCTGTCTCAAAAAACAAAAAAATTAAGAAGTCAATGATGATAAATGAAAGTCTCTGTCACCTATAATTGAATTTTACTTCAACTCTCTAATTCATAGTAAACATGTAAATGCTATTCTTCCCTTCCAGGCAACTGTCCCCCTCCCTGTTTATCACTCTGCACTAAATTAAGTGATAAGTATAAATTAACCTGATGTATATTCTCTTGTATTCTATATGTGTGTGCAGCTGTCACCCAGTTAGGCAGACTGAAAATTAACTAAACCCCACTACTTGCTTTGACATTCTGATGAGAGAGAGAAAGAGGGAGGGAGAGAGGGAGGAGGAAGGAAGGAAGGAAGGAAGGAAGGAAGGAAAGATCTAGCAAGTCTTTGAAGTGACATTATTTTCATACTACAAGATAATTCTGTTCCATTGCCATAACTTTTTCTGAAATTTTATTTAATATCTTGCAGGTCACCAAATTTAACGTGTAAGAGGGTTATTGAATCATTAACCTGAATCATTACATAAGTCTAAGAATCTTATCTTAGATTGAAGAATTAGATGCAAAGTTCATGGCAAGTGTTTAACAAATATTCATTACATTTCATTATAAGCAATCGGTGTGTTTCTCCCTTATCACTTTAGCTGCAGCATGTCTGAAGGTCTACAAGATGAGAGTTGTAACCCATCCAGTGATGCTGTTGCCTAGTAAGCTGTGCGTGTGTTGTCTGAACTAATGCTTAAAAGGTAGCCAATAATAAACCAAAAATTTTCTCAACCCTTGTGTTTATTTTTAAAAAAATCTTCAATGGGCTCAGCTTCTGTAGCTCAGCAGCTAGGGCACCTGCACCACACACACTAGAGCGAGAGGGTTCAAATCCAGCCCAGGCTGTCAAACAACAATGATAACT